TTTTTTTCAGATTTTAACTTTTTTTTTTTTAAATCTAAATGTTAAAGATTAGTTGTGTTAACACAAAAATAGTCGATTTTAGACTTCATAAAGGCGTTTGATTCTTTGCAAATTTGGTGTGTGATAATCGATTTAATGTACTTTCCGAAAAATTAAATTTAAAAATAGTAACTTTATAGTAAGTAACTTTATAAATGAAGTTTCTTCAAATATACATATAATACCAAGTAAACTTACTCCCAAATGACTAATTCCCAAAAAGTATTTTTTCAAATGTCCCCCCCAAAAAAAAAAGTTTTCATTTGTTATGAGTTTGTTTCGGTAAAAGTATACATTACCGTTTACTGTTTAGCACTGATTTCAGGATTCATTTCTAATTGGATGATGATAAAGATAGATAGGTTGATGTTACTGTTGTTGCAATTTTCTATTGGTTCTGAATCATCACCAAGCAAGTGACTGAACCCTGATTGGATCAGACGCTACAGAGGTTAGGACAGGGCTGTATGACGTGACCAGAATCCAGAACTAGAGGAGCTCCGAGGTTACAAGGTTCTACCAGTAACGTCACATGAAAAATCTGTCTAGTTTGGAGTGATAATTACATAATCAAGATCAAATTTACTCGACATTACTAGCACAACTTTGTGACATCGTAGCTCCTCTACTTTTGATTCTACGGACATCAAGTATGAGAAAAGAACATTTATTTTGCTCTTCTGAATTTCTTTTCAATAAGAAGAGTAATGCTTGGAAACATTAAAGATTTCAATTTTACGTTGAATTTACATTAGTTTAACATTTATTATCTAGATGTCCAGTGTTGTTGTTGTTGTTGTGATGTTGAATTTACATTAGTTTAACGAGGTTTACCTGGCAAATGTGCCCAGTGGTTTGGCATTGATAGAACAGTTTACAAGCTTGTGTCAGTGTTTGACAGCTCAAGGTTGTGCACAGTGGTTTGTTATTGATAGAACAGTTCACTAGCTTGTGTCAGTGTTTGACAGCGCAAGATCGTGCCCAGTGGTTTGGCATTGATAGAACAGTTTGTGAGGTTGTGTCAGTGTTTGACAGTGCAAGATCGTGCACAGTGGTTTGGCATTGATAGTTTAAGAGATCGTATCTGTGTTTGAATTTGATAGTAAAGTAAGATTGAGTTGTACCTGGATTGATACGAGTTTGAGAAACACTTATGGAGTAGGGCATTTACTACATCTCTAGTAAAGAGTTATATTTAAAGCAGTACCTCATAAACATTTGTGTGGGCACAACAATTAGACATTTCCAAGAGCGCTATGTATAAAGTGATTAGGGGATATTTACAGCAGAAAATTGAAAGAATTTATTTTTTTCAAGATGGACCAACAAAGATGTCTGCCTTATTGGTATAAAAAAGATTATATATTTCTATCACTAAACAAAATCACTAGAGAAACGACATGTACAATATACAAGATGAGTGGGTTTCCAGGCAATGCTGGGTTTCCAGGTTATAGTAAAACTATAAAACAGGTGGTATATTTATTATCTTTATATTGACTGATCTGTAAGTTTTATCATATATTTACCAAAAGTAATAAAGTTGTATATAAATTATATAAAGCATATCATAAACACAGGCCTATACATAATACATACATATAAGTAGTAAATAAGATCAAGAATTATAACCTACCTACCTACCTACCTACCTACCTACCTACCTATCTACATAACTACCTACCTACCTACCTACCTACCTACCTATTTACCTACCCACCTACCTACCTACCTACCTACCTACCTACCTACCTACCAACC